AGGCCAAGGCATGAGGATCACCTGAGGTGAGGAGTTTGAGACCAGCCTGGCCAATGTGGTGAAACCCCGTCCTACTAAAAATACAAAAAATTAGCCGGATGTAGTGGTGTGTGTCTATAGTCCCAGCTACTGGGGAGACTGAGGCAGGAGAATTGCTTGAACCTGGGAGGCAGAGGTTGCAGTGAGCCAAGATCATGCCACTGCACTCCAGCCTGAGCAACAGAGCAAGACTCCATCCCAAACAAAACAAAACACTAAAAAACGAAAGTGAGCTAATGAGCTGAATGTCTGCAGGGTAAAGGGACTGGGTCAGGAACACGGAAGAGATGCGGCTGTTGGAGAGAAGAAAGGAACATTCAGGGACCTACCTAGGGGTGGCAGGCAGAAGAATGGCCTCTTTGGAGGCTGAGGTAGGAGGATCGCTTGAGCCTGGGAGTTGGAGGCTGCCAAGAGCTATGGTCATGCCACTGCACTCTAACCTGGGTGCCTGGGTGAGAATCTGTCTCTAAAAGTTATAAAATAAAAAAAGGTTTTAGAGAGATCATGGCGGACGGGATGCAGGGCTAGACTGACGCTCCAGAGAGAGCAGCGTACCGAAGCTAGCACTGTGAATTTTAGCTCTAGATCAACTGCAAAAACAAACCAGCAATCTGAAGAGGACCCACAGACTCTGAAAGAAGCAGACTGCTCCCGCAGGACCCAGGGGAGCCCCCCAAAACTGCGAGTGCCCCAACTGCGGAAATGGGAAAGGGAGACCCTCCTCTCCCAGCACTCACACCCAGTGGAGAAGCTGAAGGTCTGGGCCGGGCACGGTGGCTCACGCCTGTAATCCCAGCACTTTGGGAGGCCGAGGCGGGTGGATCACAAGGTCAAGAGATCGAGACCATCCTGGTCAACATGGTGAAACCACGTCTCTACTAAAATACAAAAAATTAGCTGGGCACGGTGGCGCGTGCCTGTAATCCCAGCTACTCAGGAGGCTGAGGCAGGAGAATTGCCTGAACCCAGGAGGCGGAGTTTGCGGTGAGCCGAGATCGCGCCGTTGCACTCCAGCCTGGGCAACAAGAGCGAAACTCCGTCTCAAAAAAAAAAAAAAAAAAAAAAAAAAGAAGCTGAAGGTCTGTTTGCGGGACAGGTTTCCGACTTTACCTGGCGCTAAATCAATTTGGAGAGCGAGTGAAATACAGGGTAGAGCAAGCAGCAGAAAGGCCCTGGGGGCTGGAGCTGGAGCTGGCTGGGTTCCCCAGCAGCCCATTCCTCCCTGGCACCACGGGGATCCAATGGAAGAGCAAGGGGTATAACGCCACAGGGAGAAGCAAATCTCTAGCTGAACTCTGTAACAATTTGAACAGGGTAAGAAGCCTCCTGGCCAGAACTCTGGGGAGGACGCAAATCCGGTGTGCAGACTCCACAGGTGCGGGAAGAACTAAGCCCTTTTCTTTGGCAGCTGGGAGGTGGAGAGCCTGGGGCAGGTTTTCAAGCCCCTATTGCCCTCCACCTGGAAACAGTCTGGGGGCTGTTTTGGGGGTACGTGGGAGTGAGACTAGCCCTTCAGTCTGCCTGGGAGCTGGGCGAGGCCTGTGACTGCGGGCTTTCCCCCACTTCCTGACAACCTACCTGACTCAGCAGAGGCAGCCATATCCTCCTTGGTACACGACTCCAGTGACCTGGGAATCTCACCCATCCCCATAGCAAAGACCGCCTAGCCCCAACCCCACCTGATGGGCCTTCCTTACCCACCCTGGTAGCAGAAGACAAAGGGCACAAAAACTTGGGAGTTCTAGGCCCCCCCTGCAGGTTCCTCTGCACACTACCACAGCGAGGCTCTCTGGAAAGCGCCACCTCCTGGCAGGAGGCCAACCAACACAAAAATAGAGCATTAAACCACCAAAGCTAACAGTCCTCACGGAGTCCACTGCACCGTGTGCCACCTCCATGGGAGCAGGTACTGGTATCCACAGCTGAGAGTCCCGTAGATGGTTCACATCACAGGACTCTGTGCAGACAACACCCAGTACCAGCCAGGAGCCAGGTAGACTCACTGGGTAGCTAGACTCAGAAGAGACACAACAATCACTGCAGTTTGGCTCACAGGAAGCCACATCCATAGGAAAAGGGGGAGAGTACTACAATGAGGCAACACCCCATGGGACAAAAGAATGTGAATAACAGCCTTCAACCCTAGACCTTCCCTCTGACAGAGCCTACCCAAAAGAGAAGGAACCAGAAAACCAATCCTGGTAACATGACAAAACAAGGCTCTTCAACACCCCCCAGAAATCACACTAGTTCACCAGCAACGGATCCAAACCAAAAAAAAAAAAAAATCCCTGATTTACCTGAAAAAGACTTCAGCAGGCTAGTTATTAGGCTTATCAGGGAGGGACCAGAGAAAGGCAAAGCCCAGTGCAATGAAATCCAAAATATGATACAGGAAGTGAAGGGAGAAATATTCAGGGAAATATATAGCTTAAATAAAAAAAACAATAAAAAAATTCAGGAAACTTTGGACACACTTTTAGAAATGTGAAATGTTCTTGAAAGTCTCAGGAATAGAATTGAACAAGTAGAAGAAAGAAATTCAGAGCCTGAAGACAAGGTCTTCGAATTAACCCAATCCAACAAAGACAAAGAAAAAAGAATAAGAAAATATGAACAAAGCCTCCAAGAAGTCTGGGATTATATTAAATGACCAAACCTAAGAATAATCAGTCAGTGTTCCTGAAGAAGAGGATTCTGAAAACTTGGAAATATTTGGGGGAATAATAAGGAAAACTTCCCTGGCCTTGCTAGAGACCTAGACATCCAACTACAAGAGGCACAAAGAACACCTGGGAAATTCATTGCAAAATGATCTTTGCCTGGGCACACTGTCATCAGGTTATCCAAAGTTAAGACAAAAGAAAGAATCTTAAGAGCTGTGAGACAGAAGCACCAGGTAACCTATAAAGGAAAATCTATCAGATTAACAGCAGATTTTTCAGCAGAAACCCTACAAGCTAAAAGGGATTGGGGCCCTATCTTCAGCCTCCTCAAAACAATTACTAGCCAAGAATTTTGCATCCAGTGAAACTAATAACCATATATGAAGAAAAGATATAGTCTTTTTTAGACAAACAAATGCTGAGAGAATTTGCCATTACCAAGTCAGCACTACAAGAACTGCTAAAAGGAGTTCTAAATCTTGAAACAAATCCTGGAAACACATCAAAACAGAACTTCTTTAAAGCATACATCACATAGGACCATAAAACAAAAATATAAGTTAAAAAGCAAAAACAAAAAATGAAAAAACCAAAGTACACAGGAAACGAAGAGCATGATGAATGCAATGGTACCTCACATTTCAATACTAACATTGAATGTAAGTGGCCTAAATTCTTCACTTAAAAGATACAGAACTGCAGAATAGATAAGAACTTACCAACCAACCAACTGCTGCTTTCAGGAGACTCATCTTGCCTATAAGGACTCACATAAAGTAAAGGGGTATGAAAGGGCACTTCATGCAAATGGACACCAAAAGGGAGCAGGGGTAGCTATCCTTACGTCAGAGAAAACTAACTTCAAAGCAGCAGTGGTTAAAAGAGACAAAGAGGGATATTATGTAATGGTAAAAGGCCTTGTTCAAGAGGAAAATATCACAATTCTAAACATACATGCGCCTAACACTGGAGCTTCCAAATTTATAAAACAATTACTAATAGACCTCAGAAATGAGATAGAAAGCAACACAATAACAGTGAAGGACTTCAATACTCCACGGATAGCACTAGACAGGTCATCAAGACAGAAAGGCAAGAAAGAAACAATGGATTTAAATTATACCTTGGAGGCTGGGCACAATGGCTCATGCTTATAATCCCAGCACTTTGGGAGGCAGAGGTGGGCTGATCATGAGGTAAGGAGTTGGAGACCAGCCTAGCCAACACAGTGAAACCCTGTTTCTACTAAAAATACAAAAATTAGCAGGGCGTAGTGGCGGGCACCGATAATCCAAGCTACTTGGGAGGCTGAGGCAGGAAAATTGCTTGAACCCCAGAGGCAAGGTTGCAGTGAGCCGAGATCTCACCACTGCTCTCCAGCCTGGGCAACAAAAGTGAAACTCTGGTCTCAAAATAAATAAATAAAAATAAATTATACCTTGGAACAAATGGACTAAACAGACATATACAAAACATTTCATCTGACAACCGCAGAATACACATTCTATTCAACAGCACATGGTCTTTCTCCAAGATATACCATATGATAGGCCACAAAAAGAGCCTCAATAAATTTAAGAAAACTGAAATTATATCAAGTATTCTCTCAGACCACAGTGGAATAAAACTGGAAATCAACTCCAAAGGAACCTTCAATACCATGCAAATACATGGAAATTAAACAACCTGCTACTACAGTGGCTATGGAAAACAGTGTGGAGATTCCTTAAAGAACTAAAAGTAGAACTAGTGTTTGATCCAGTAATCCCACTACTGGGTATCTAGCCAGAGGAAAAGAAGTCATTATTCCAAAATGATACTTGTACATGCATGTTTATAGCAGCACAATTCACAGCTGCAAAATCGTGGAACCAACCCAAATGCCCATCAATCAACGAGTGAATAAAGAAACTGTGGTGTGTGTGTGTGTCTGTGGTGTGTGTGTGTGTGTGTGTCTGTGTGTGTATGTGTGTGTGTGTACGTATATATATTTATATGTGTATATATGTATATGTATGTATATCTAATGGAATACTACACAGCCATAAAAAGGAATGAATTAACAGCATTTGCAGTGACCTGGATGAGATTGGAAACCACTATTCTAAGTGAAGTAACTCAGGAATGGAAAACCAACCATCGTATGTTCTCACTGCTATGTGGGAGCTACGCTATGAGGATGCAAAGGCATACAAATGACACAATGGACATTGGAGACTTGCAGGGAAAGACTTCGCCTGGCCTGTGGCTATTTGTTGCAGCAGCCACCGGAGACTAGGTTGCCAGGTGACTCACCTTCAGAGAGACCTGTTCTCGGAGCGTGGAGTTGGCATAGGCGAAGGTGCTGGCCATCCCGATGCACACAGCGATGCCTGCAGGACAGAGGAGGGCTTGACATCACCCACTTAGACTCATCAGGCCTAGCCCAGGGTGCTGAGCAAGGTGGGGGAAAAGACACATCCCTGGTCCCTTTGGAATGAAAAATCCTGCTTCTGGGGGATTTGGGCTGCCATCTAAATTGCTGGGAATTCTGAGCCATTCTGACTTAGGGACAGGATTAGGTCCCTGTGGGGATACTTTACAGCACCAGATCAGCACTGTGCGGTCTGGTAAGGCCTGGGTTCAAATCCCAGCTCTGCCCTTCTTCTCTGTGTGAGCTTGGCACCTCTCTAAGCCCTAGTTTCCTCACGTGTAAAATGGACAGAGCAATAACATTACTTATACCTCATGGAGGGATAAAGTTTCTAGATCATAAACCTTAGCAGTTAGTAAATGATGCCTCTTATTATATCTACTTTCAAAAAGAATCTGATTGATAGAATCAGATAGAATGTGTGATAAAAGCATACACTAAAAAAACTCACAGCTGGGTGCTGTGGCTCATGCCTGTAATCCCGGTACTTTGGGAGGCCGAGGTGGGTGGATCACTTCAGGCCAAGAGTTTGAGAAGAGCCTGGCCAATCACATCTCTACTAAAAATACAAAAATTAGCTGGACATGGTGGCGAACAGCTCTAGTCACAGCTACTCAGGAGGCTGAGGCACAAGAATTGCTTGAACCCAGGATGGAGAGACTGCAGTGAGTTGAGATCACACCAGTGCACTCCAGCCTGGGCAACAGGCAACGCTCTGTCTCAAAAAAGACAAAGAAGAAGAAAAAGAAAAAACTCACAGCACCATAAGGAATTCAAGTTTAATGTTCAACAAGAAATAAAATCCCAGCTAACAGACAAACCTGACCCAGGCAGATGGGAGAACGAAATTGAATTTTCTTCCACCAGACATTTAATTGCCGCTGTTTGCCAAGCTACAATCTTGGAATTCTTCCGGAATAATGATTTGCGAGTCCTGCTTTTTGTTATTTGCAGACAGGATTCCTCTTTCACCTGATGTACTTACTAGTTTTTTTTGTTTTTCTGAGACACTGTCGCCCAGGCTGGAGTGTAGTGGTGCAACCTCAGCTCACTGCAACCTCTACCCCCGGGTTCAAGTGAGTCTGGTGTCTCAGTCTCCTGAGTAGCTGGGATTGCAGATGTGCACCACCATGCCCAGCTAATTTTTTAATGATTAGTAGAGATGGGGTTTCACCATGTTGGCCACGCTGGTCTCAAACTCCTGACCTCAAGTGATCCACCTACCTCGGCCTCCCAAAGTGCTGGAATTATAGGGGTGAGCCACTGTGCCCAGCCTTACTTACTCTTTTAATAGGTATGTGCACTCCAGGTATTTTTCCAGATCTACTGTATTTCTTCACTAAAAACATATAAAGCAAGAATGAGTGGCCCCATAATCCTGTTTTCTACCCTTCTCTTGGATTAAAAAACAAAAAAAACCTGCCAAGTGAAAAAGAAAATGACCATACTCGCAAAACAAAACTTAGCTGTGATTTTGCCAGAATTCAGGGTAACGGAGAACATGCCAGCTTTCACTTCTAGGAACAGAAAGGGAGGGCTGATAGGGCGGCACCCAGCAAGGAAGGTGGAGGAATCTGAGCTAGCTGTCACTCATCAGAGAGAAGAAAATAAGAAATAAAAAATGGTCTCACCCCCTCTTGAGGCTCTCTCTTTATTTTTGGTAGAGATAGGCTCTCACTATGTTTCCCAGGCTGGTCTTGAACTCGCGGCCTTGAGCAATACTCCCACCTCGGCCTGGAAACGTGGTGGGATTACAGGCATGAGCCACCATATCTGTCAATATTTTCTCATGGAAAGTGGTAGGCCACAAGATAATTGTTACCATCACTCCTACTGAAGGACTAAAACAACAGTCTATAAGCCGGCCAGGGCATAGCAACACCATGATCTAATAAGTAAACCGGGCATGGTGGCTCACGCCTGTAATCCCAGCACTTTAGGAGGCTGAGGTGGGTGGATCACTTGAGGTTAGGAGTTCAAGACCAGCCTGGCCAACATGGCAAAACCCCATCTCTACTAAAAATTTTAAAAATTAGCCAGGCGTGGTGGTGGGTGCCTATAATTCCAGCTACTCAGGAGGCTGAGACATAAGAATTGCTTGAACCTGGGGGCAGAGGTTTGCAGTGAGCTGAGATGGCACCACTGCACTCCATCCTGGTGACAGAGCAAGACTCAGTCTCAAACAAACAAACAAACAAAATCCCAGTAAATAACATTAATAATAACAATGACAGTATACTAGGCTGGGCACAATGGCTCATACCTGTCATCTCAGCATTCTGGAAGGCTGAGGCAGGCAGATCACCTGAGGTGAGGAGTTTGAGACCAGCTGGCAAACATGAAACCCCGTCTCTACCAAAAAATACAAAAATTAGCTGGGCATGGTGGTGGGCGCCTATAATTCTAGCTACTTGGGAGAGGCAGGAGAATTGCCTGAACCCAGGAGGCGGAGGATGCAGTGAGCCGAGGTCACGCCATTGCACTCCAGCCTGGGCAACAAGAGTGAAACTCCATCTCAAAACAAACAAACAAACAAACAAACCAGTTATACGAGAGGCCATTTATTGACTGTTGAGTATGTGTCAGATAGGAGACTAAGCACTTTGGGAATCATTATTTTATTCCCTAATAACAACAATAGGTAGTATTTATCCATCACGTGCTGTGTGCCAGGCTCTATGTTAAGTATCTCAATGTATGTTAATAATACATATAACAGGCCAGGCACAGTGGCTCACACCTGAAATCCCAGCACTTTAGGAGGCCAAGGAGGGAGGATTGCTTGAGCCCAGGAATTTGAGACCAGCCTGGGCAATATAGTGAGACTTCTACTCTACAAAAATAATTTAAAATTTAGCTGGGCATGGTGGCACACGCCTATGGTCCCAGTACTCAGGAGACTAAGGTGGGAGGATCGCTTGAATCTGGGAGGCGAAGGTTGCAGTGAGCTAAGACTGCACCACTGCACTCTAGCCTGGGCGAAAGAGTAAGATCCAGTCTCTCTCTCTCTCTCTCTCTGTCTCTGTGTGTGTGTATATTAAAAATAGTAATGTGTGTTACTCATATTAACTAAAATCTAACATAACTGTGATCCCGTGAAGAATAACCCCCCTTTACAGATGACGAAACTGAGGCACAGAGAGGGTAAATAATGCACCTCGCATCACAGAGCTAGGAGGGGACAGAGCTCGAGTATAGACTCCGGCAGTCTGCGTTATTACGCAGGACTCCTTCACTCCAGCCAACAAGTGAGGAAGTTTCTATCATAACCCCCACTAGACAGATGAGGAAACTGAGGCTCAGAGAAGCCAAGTGACTTGCCCCAAGTCACACAGCTAGTCTGCCAGGATTTGACCCCAGGTCTGCCTCAGAATCCTACACCCTGAAGCCCATGTTGGTCTCTGCTGTCTCTCCCTGGGCTTCAGAGGAGGAGCCCCCCACCCCATGGGCTGCAGGCACACTGCACTGAAGCCCCTGGCTAGGACAGCCATGCCCCCAGAACTCACCGAGCTTATGCTGGAAGCACAGTTTGGCCAGGAGGATCAGGATGAAGGGGAGTCCTTTCTGGAGCCAGCAGATCACAGCCTTCAGCTCGGACAGGGCGGGGGCAGGAGTCCCGGGCTGTTCGTCGCCTCCCTCCTCCGAATGCCCCCGGTGGTCCCCTCCCACGTGCTGCAGCAAGGAGGTCCCGCGGTGGCTGCCGTGGTGGAAGTGGTGGTGGGGCTGGCGGTGGTGATAGGCGCCCCCCTCGCCCCGGCCCCCTCCTTCCTCCCTGGATGCGGGCATCTGGATGAACACGTCCCCGCCGCCAGACGAGGAGCCCAGCACCAGGCTGGAGGGGAACGAGCTGGTGGGGAGGCTGCCTGATAAGCCCGAGAAGAGCGCTGGTGGGGAGGCCGCCTCTGCCTTCAGACTCTCAAAGACGCCACCTTCATCCACACTCGCCTCGGAGCTGAGCGCCTGGCTGCGGTTTCTGGGTGACAAGGGGAGAGAAACCCCAGGAAGTCAGACGGATGGAAAAGACCTCACCCCAGACGAGGATGGGGACCAATAATATCAGTTATGTTGTGGGTTGAGCTGTGTCCCCTCTCAAATTCACATGAAGTCCTTACTCCCAGGACCTCAGAATGTGACCGTTTAAAGACAGGGTCCTTAAGAGGCAATGAAGTTAAAATGAAATCATTAGAGTGGGTCTAATCCAGTGTGACTGTTATCCTTGTAAGAAGAGGTAAGGGCTGGCTGCAGTGGCTCATGCCCATAATCCCAGCACTTTGGGAGGCAGAGGTGGGAGGATTGCTTGAGCCCAGTTGTTCAAGACCAACCTGGGCAACAGGGAGACTCCATCTTTACAAAAACTAGAAAGAAATTAGCCAGGCCTGGTGGCGCCTGACTGTAGCTCCAGCTACTCAGGAGGCTGAGGTGGGAGGATCACTTGAGCCCAGGATGTTGAGGCTGCAGTGAGCCAAATCTCGCCACTGCACTCCAACCTGGGTGACAGAGAGACTCTGTCACAAAAGGAAAAAATAAAAATAAAAAAGAAGAGGAAGAGACTAGGACACAGACAGGTACAGAGAGTAGACCACATAAAGACACAGGGAGCAGACGGCTGTCCACAAGCCAAGGAGAGAGGCCAGAGAAGGGACCAAGCCGGCTGATACCCTGATCTCAGCCTTCCAGCCTCCAGAACTTGTTAAAAGAAATTTCTGATGTTGAAGAACCCCAGGGTGTGGTACTTTGTTATAGCAGTCCTAGGAACTAACACAAATAATATGAATAACAAGAGGTCATAACCTTTATCAAAACCTGCTATATGTCAGATAGTCTTATGAGTATTTTGCATTGATTAGCTTACTAAATCCTCCCATCAACCCTGGAATTAGGTCCCATGGATATCCCCTCTTTACAGATAAAGAAACAGAGGCCCAGAGAGAGAAAGTAACTTGTCCAGAGTCACAGAGCTGGTAAGGGGTGGAGTAGGGGAGATTCGAACCCAGGCCAACTCTTTCTAGAGCCCACTTTAGTAACCAGCACACTTCGTTGAAAAGGGAGCACAGAATTCTATGATTCTAGAATTACCTCGAGATCCCAAGGACCCATGGTTCTGCAGTCTTCAAGTTCAATGGCTCCTAGTTCCCCAGAGGGGCCAGCCTTGGTCACAACTGGCACTGGGTGGGACCCACCCACTTAGCTGGAAGACTTCCATGACAGTAATGCGAAGAAGACTTAGCTGGGAGGCCCACATTCAAACTGCATCCCCACCTCTTCTAGGGGCTTATACCTCTGTACTCAGCTTTCTCACCTGAGAAATGGGCCTTTATTCCTGAATAGAATTCTGGGGGTGGGGGGCACATTAAATTTAAAATATATTTTGCAATAATAGGTGCTCGATACATGGAAACTATTATCTCTAGTTTTTTTTTGTTTTTGTTTTTGTTTTTGAGATGGAGTTTCACTCTTGTTGCCCAAGCTGGAGTACAATGGTGCAATCTCGGCTCACCACAACCTCTACCTCCCAGGTTCAAGCAATCCTCCTGCCTCAGCCTCCCAAGTAGCTGGGATTACAGACATACACCACACCCAGCTAATTTTTTGTATTTTTAGTAGAGATGGGGTTTCAACAGGTTGGTCAGGCTGGTCTCGAACTACCGACCTCAGATGATCCTCCCGCCTCAGCCTCCCAAAGTGCTGGGATTACAGGTGTGAGCCACCACGCCCAGTATCTCTAGTTCTTATGAAAGACCTGCAGGGCCAAATTGCTTTCCCTAGTTCCAAGCAAGGGCCTCTTGCGTTGGAATCAGGCAAAGGATTCTGTGGCCCTTGCAGAGCCACTGCTAGAGGAGCAGAGAGCCCAGAGTTGCGCCTGCAGGAATGGAGAACTCAGAACTGGGTGCAGTTTCCCATGAACGTGGAGGTCTGGATACCATCTTTCTACTCTTGGGTTCATTCTCTTTTCTTTCTTTTTCTTTTGAGACAGAGTCTTGCTCTGTCACCCAGGCTGGAGTGCAATGGCACAATCTCAGCTCACTGCAACCTCCATCTCCTGGGTTCAAGCAATTCTCCTGCCTCAGCCTCCCGAGTAGCTGGGATTACAGGCACCTGCCATCATGCCCAGCTAATTTTTGTATTTTTAGTAGAGGCGGGTTTCACCATGTTAGCCAGGCTGGTCATAAACTCCTGACCTAGGTGATCCACCCACCTCAGCCTCCCAAAGTGCTGGGATTACAGGCGAGAGCTACCGCGCTCGGCCAAGGGTTCATCCTTTTTTGAAGCGGAATCACTACACTGCAAACTTAGCCCACACCACAGATGCAAGTGAAGCTTGATGTGCATGTGTTGGGGAAGGGGAGGACAAAGAGCCACTCCCTCCTTCTGTCACCCTGCAGGCACCTCCACAGACTGCTAAGGGACTCCAAATATACCATGAGCTTATTGAAAATGGGCTGGGCTTCATTCATTCTCTGGACCCCACAACCCAGGGCACACATTAGGTGCTTAATAAATGTATACCAGACGTCATTCAGTCCAAAATGGCAGCAGGAGGAAGGCTTTGGGGAAAAATTTCCACTGTTTTCACATCTGACCTCATGTCATCTATTATATGAGACCGTTATCCACAGGGTGAGACGTGAGTGTGCAGTGAGTTGCCCAGGCCAGAGTGGTGTGATCATAGCTCACTAGAGCCTCCAACTCCTGGGCTCAAGTGATCCTCCCACCTCGGCCTCCTGAATAGCTGGGGTTATAGGCATATGCCACTGCAAATGGCTCCAGGAAATATGTCTTAAAATATTACAAATATATACAAGACTGGGCATGGTGGCTCACACCTATAATCCCAGCACTTTGGGAGGCCAAGGCAGGGAGATCCCTTAAGCCCAGGAGTTTAAGACCAGCCTGGGCAACATAGCAAGAGCCTATCTCTACAAAAAAATTAGAAAATTAGCTGGGCATAGTGGCATGCACCTGTAGTCCCAGCTATTCAGAAGGCTGAGGTGGGAGGATGGCTTGAGCCCAGGCGGTAGAGGTTACAGTGAGTTGAGTTCACGCCACTGCACCCCAGCCTGGGTGACAGGGTGAGATGTTTTCTCACTAAGCAAATAAATAAAAATAAAACACATACAGTCCAGCATCCATATTTAAGGATTCAACTAACCTTGGGTCATGGATCCACAGATACAAAGGGCTGACTGTCCTAGCCATTTTATACATGTGACTTGAGCAGCTGCATATTCTGGTATCCACTGGGGGTCTTGGAACAAATACCCCCATGAATATGGAGGGCCAACTGTATTCGATTATTTCATGATCCCACTAAAAGTGCTCCCAGGGTTTCCCATTCTGTATTCCTTCCCAAGATCTCAGATGAACCCTCTAGATAGGTACAAATATCATTCCCAAGTATCATGTCCCTTACTGACAAAGAAACTGAGATTCAGAGAGATGAAGCTGCCAGGATTATTTGGCCCCAAACTCTAATCTCATCGTGTGCCTGCTTCTCCTTTCCTACCCCAGGCTGTCGCCTTCACCGGGATGCCTCTCCTACCTGCACCCCATCCCAACTAGGTAACACACACTCATTTGTTAGATTTCAGCTAACGTCTCCCTTCCTGGGTGGAGGCTCCCCTCCCTCCCAGACAATGACAGTCCCCGGCTCCTTGTTCTCACTGCACCCTCATGTCACCTGCACAGGACTGATCACAGCTGTCATTTTATTCCTCATCTTTCTCTCAAGACCTGTGGCTCTCAAATGTGGCCATGTATTATAACCACTTGGGGGAACTTCTGAAAAAAACAGGTGCCCTGACCCCCCTGGAGACCAACTGAATCAAAATCTTTGTGGGTGGGCCGCAGCATCTGAAGTTACTCAGAGTCCCCTCAGTGATTCTTCTTTTTTTTGAGCAGGGTCTCCCTCTGTCACCCAGGCTGGAGTGCAGTGGCATGATCTCGGCTCCCTGCAACCTCTGCCTCCTGGATTCAAGTGATTCTAGTGCCTCAGCCTCCTGAGTAGGCGGGATTACAGGTGTATGTCACCATGCTTGGGTAATTTTTGTATTTTTTGTAGAGATGGGGTTTTCGCCATGTTGGCCAGGCTGGTCTCAAACTCCTGAGCTCATGTGATCCTCCTGCCTTGGCCTCCAAAATGCTGGGATTATAAGCAGGAGCCACCATTCCCCACCACCCCCCACCACAATGATTCTAATGTGCAGTCAGTGCTGCTAACCATAGCTTTGGACAGAGCTCCACACCACAAGATCAAACACTATAGCCTTGTTCTACCACCCACACCATGCACCTGGCACTCGGAACATGCTCAATATTGTTTGAAGGAATGCATAAAGAAGTGGACTAAAGGCACTGAGAAGGCCTGCAACTGAAAAAATGAATTTTGCTTAAGCCCAGTGTTCCCCAAACTTATTTGACCACAGAATTCTTTTCATCCATGGAAAACCATTTAACAGCTTGCAGAACACCTGTGACACACAGCAGGCGGGACACGGTGGTTTCCCCGGATGCACAAACTGGGCCTGCAAGTATGTTGCTAAAAACCTGGTGAGGCCAGACACGGTGGCTCAAACCTGTAATCACAGCACCTTGAGAGGCTGAGGTGGGCAGATCGGTTGAGGTCAGGATTTTGAAGCAGGCTGGGTATGGTAGCTCATACCTGTAATCCCAGCACTTGAGGCCAGGAGTTGAGACTAACCTGACTAACATGGCGAAGCCCCCTGTCTACTAAAAATACAAAAATTAGCCAGGCATGGTGGGACATATTGTAATCCCAGCTACTCAGAAGGCTGCAGCAGAATCTCGCTTGAACTTGGGAGGCGGAGGCTGCAGTGAGCCAAGATTGTGCCACTGCACTCCAGCCTGGGCAACAGAGTGAGACTCGTGTCAAAAAAAAACCTGGTGCAACAGAGGAAACTCAGGATTGGATTCCCTCCCCAACCAAGCCCCAACCCTGCTGGATCCAAGAGCCCAGGAAATATGAACCCCTCCTCCCCTGAGCGCTGGATAATAATAATGACAATATTCATAATGACAACAACAGCAAACACCATGGCTATCATCCTCAAGGGACCTTCAGCTTTTTCTGTACTTCGAGGAGCTCAGCTCAGAAAGCAAGAGTCCTGGCAGGTACCCATGTTGGCCCACAAGGAGGCCACTCTATCTCCCTGGCCACCCAAGGGGCCCTAGAAAGCCATCCCAGCCCCCTTGAGCTTGCCAGCACTCTGAGTTCACTGGGCTCAGGGGCCTCCAGTACACCCAGGGAAGACTCAACCCACCAAGGGGCTTTTTATAGCTGGCCTCCCTTCCCTGGGCCTCTCCCCTGCATCCAGCCGAGATTTCAGCCTAACTAGGAAAGAATATTCCTTAGAGGGAGACAGAGGCTGCGCTTCCAACTTAACCACTTAAGGGCCAGAGCTTGAGGCTACCCAGGAGGAGAAGTGGCTCTGCTCAGACAGCAGGCAGCCAAAAATGGTATCTGAAAGCACAGATGCTGGGGGACGAATGGATGGGGGTGCAAATGTCTGGCTGTGTGACTTTAGGTAATTTCCTTCCCCTCTGTGAGCCTCAGTTTCTGCATCTGCAAAATGGGTGCTTTCACTGGGCTAATGTGACGGTTAGCACAGCATAAGCACTCAATACACGGTTTGAATTTCCTGTGTGGTCTTTGACCCCAAGAGATCTCAGGGTTCACTTGACAGCAGACGGCAATGTTATCTTTAGAGGTGGAAAAGGGTCCAACAGGCAGGCTATTACAAGCCGGATGCTGTGTTTCTGCATCTTCACACTCACTCCACCCGTAAACAACTTTTTTTCCTTCTTTTTGAGACAGAGTCTCACTCTGTCACCCAGGCTGGAGTGCAGTGGCATGATCTCGGCTCACTGCAACCTCCACCTCCCAGGTTCAGGTGATTCTCCTGCCTCAGTCTCCTGAGCAGCTGGGACTACAGGCTAATTTTTGTACTTTTAGTAGAGATGGGGTCTCATCATGTTGGCCAGGAGTCTCCAACTCCTGATCTCAGGTGATCCGCCTGCCTCAGCCTCCCAAAGTGCTGGAATTACAGGGGTGAACCACTGCACCTGGCATGTAAGCAACTCTTGAGTTCTGTCACCTGCCATTTTTGGATGGAGAAGCTGAGACCTAGAGAAGGAAGTCACGCACCAAAGTCACCACAGGTGGGAGGTGGCTGAGCTGGGGTTCTTCCCTGCAGAACAGGCAGGCACCATACAAAAGGTAGTCCCAATGCTGGGGCTGGGGGATAATATTTGTGATTTTGTAGCCAACCCCGGAGCCGCAGTGGGAAGGGAATGTGAGGGAGGGAAGGCTTGGCTGCCCGCCCCCTGGAAGTATGTGCTAACACGGGGCTTCCGGGGCTGGAAGCTGTCCCAACCTGAGAACAGGGCCCCAGGTGTGTTCTCTCTTGGGTTTCAATAGCTAGAAATTCTAGGCTGGGAGCAGTGGCTCATGCCTGTAATCCTAGCACTTTAGGAAGCTGAGGTGGATGGATTGCCCAAGCTCACGAGTTCGAGACCAACCTGGCCAACAAGGTGAAACCTTGTCTCTACTAAAATACAAAAAAATTAGCCAAACATGGTGGCGGGCGACTGTAGTCCCAACTACGCACATGAGAATAGCTTGAACCCGGGAGGCGGAGGTTGCAGTGACCTGAGATCATGCTATTGCAGTCCAGCCTGGGTGATAGAGTGAGACTCCATCTCAAAAAAATGGAAAAAAAAATTCTAGCTCATGAGTGTTTTAATTGCGTTTTTTTAAGATTCTATCTGGTATCCATTAATCATAGGGTCAAACTCATGGCCAAAGTTATTTACATGTCCCCGAGATCCAGAACCCATAACCCTAATCACTGCTTCATCTAACCTTTTTTTTTTGAGACAGGGTCTCACTCTGTTGCCTAGGCTGGGGTGCAGTGGTGCAATCAGAGCTCACTGCCTCCTGGGCTCAAGCAATCCTCCACCTCTGCCTCCTGAGTAACTAGAACCACAGATGCATGCCACCATGCTTGGTAAGTTTCTATTTTTTTGTAGAAATGGGGTCTCTCTATTTTGACCAGGCTGCTCAAACTTCTGGGGCCAAGCAATCCTCCCACCTTGGCTTCCCAAAGTGCTGAGACTATTGGCACGTGCCACCATGCCTGGCTAGTTTTAAACTTTTTTGTAGAGACAGGATCTCCCTGTATCACCTAGGCTGGTCTCCAATGCGAGACTCAGGTTATCCTCCCACCTCGGTCTCCCAAAGTGTTGGGATTACAGGTGTGAGTCACTACATCGCCCTTCCTTCATCTAAGTTTTACACATGCAGCCAATATTTCTCCTGTGCTACATCACCAAGGGCTAGATACCAAACTAAAGAGCAACTAGAGTCCGGGCATAGTGGCTCGCGTTTATAATCCCAGTGAGCAGGAGTTTGGGAGGCCAAGGAGGGCAGATCGCTTGAGCTCAGGAATTTGAGACCAGCCTGGGAAACATAACAAAACCCTGTCTCTACAAATAAAAAAATTAGCTAGACGTGGTAGTGCAGGCCCGTAGTCCCAGCTACTCAGAAGGCCGAGGTGGGAGGATCACTTGATTCTGAGAGGTCAAGGCTGCAGTGGGTTGAGATTGCGCTACTGCATTCTAGCCTGGGCAACAGAAAAAAAAAGAGACCACCTTGATGCCCAGAGCCCACCAACATCATTCAAACTAGCCAGTCCTAAATGGTTTCCCCTGCCTTGCCTGTCTTTCCCACAGAAAACACCATAAAGGCTGTGGTCTATGCTTTTTCCTTGCTCCTTTCTGCCTCCTGACTGACGCTGGTGCTTCCCCAGGTGGTCCTGCATGCGGTGGTATGCCCCCTCCTCTTGGGAAATCAAAGAAATAAAAAACTCATCTTCCAACGTCATTAGCCTCTCCATGTTGTTTCTCGGAGTTATGATCTGAATGTCTGTGTCCCCTGCAGATTCTTATGTTGACACTTAACCCACGCCAGGGACAGTGGTTCATTCCTATAGTCCCGGGGCTTTGGGAAGTTGAGGTAGGAAGATTGCTTGAGCTCAGGAGTTTGAGGCCAGTTTGGACAACTTAGTGAGACCCCGTTTCTACCAAAAAATTTTTTTAAATTTGCCAGGTATAATGGCACATGCCCATAGTCCCAGCTACTTGGGAGGCTGAGGCAGGAGGATTGCTTGAGCCTATGATTTGGAGGTTATAGTGAGGCCTAATCACGACTGCACTCCAGCCTGGGTAACAGAGCAAGCCCCTGTCTCAAAAAAGAAACCTGACCTGAAGTGTGATAGTACTAGGAGGTGGGGCCTTTGGGAATGATTAGCTGATGCGATGGGCTCGTCACAAATGGGATTAGTGCCCCTAAAAAGGAGACCCAGAGAGATCCCTTTCCCTTCAACACATTAGGATATGGCAAGAGAATGGCCATCAGTGAACCAGACAGTGGGCCTTTAGCAGACACTGACTATGCTGGAGCTTTCGAGACTTCCTAGCCTCCAGCACTGTGAGAGATAAATAATTGTTATTTAAACCACCCATCTGGCTGGGCTCAGTGGCTCAGGCCTATAGTCTCAGCACTTTGGGAGGCCAAGGTGGGCAGATCACTTGAGGTCAAGAGTTCAAGACCAGCCTGGCCAACATGGTGAAACCCTCTATCTACTAAAATACAATTACTTGGGAGGCTGAGGCACGAGAATCATTTGAATCTGGGAGGCAGAGGCTGTGGTGAGCCAAGATCATGCCACCATACTCCAGCCTGGTGACATAGTGAGACTCTGTCTCTAAAAAATAGAAAAGAGCCGGGTGCTGTGGCTCACTCCTGTAATCCCAGCCCTTTGGGAGGCCGAAGTGGGTGGATCACGTGAGGTCAGGAGTTTGAGACCAGGCTGGCCAACATGGTGAAACCCCATCTCTACTAACAATACAAAAATTAGCTGGGTGTGGTGGCAGGTGCCTGTAATCCCCGCTGCTTGGGAGGTTGAGGCAGGAGAATTGCTTGAGCCCAGGAGGTGGAGGTTGCAGTGAACCGAGATCCTGACACTGCACTCCAGCCTGGGCGACAGAGCAAGACTTCGTCTTAAAAAACAAACAAACACCCATTCCATGGTATTTTTGTGATAGCAGCCTGAAGGGCTAAGACATCTCTCTAAATTAAAATCCCACAGGTACAGTCATTGATCCGATGAGTCAGGTAGCTCACCTGTCACACAAGACTTTGAGATTTAGCATAAAAGCAAAAGCAAGCTATTAAGTATTGTTTAGTATGAGGCCGTCACTGTGACTCTAACTGACTCTGAGGGGGAGGCATTGCTCAATCCAGTTTCGGGTTGCCCCTTACCACCCGAAGCCCAGAGCCCTCAGATGGAACAGAAGCAGAGATGCCTACCTTTCGGGTGGAATGTTATCCGTGTTGCTGCTGTGGCGTCTCTGCATCTTCCTTAACACCTAAAACCCAACACAGGGGTGAGCCAGAATCTCCCAACACTCCCACTGCCTTTCCGATTGCCAAGGTAATTGTAAACCGCAAACCCATGCTAGTGGTATCTTAGACCCCTAGTGCTCTCTGGCATTTTCCAAAGTATGTTTCAATCTTTCATGCCATTCCATCCTCAATGTGACATTCTATCCCATGAGGAAAGCTATCACCCCATTTCACAGAGGAGGACGATGAGGCTCAGAGGCGGAAGAAGTCCTCATGTGAGAGGATAAAGCAGTGAACTGTGTAGCCGAGAGGTGCCAGATGAAGTGAAGTGGGCAGCGGACTGGCAGTTGGGAGACATGGATTCTGGGTTGATGCTGCTACTAACTTGCTGTGTGACCCTAGACAAATCAGTAACCTCTCTGTGGTTTCAGATTCCCCATATTATGTGGGAGGGGTGGAGTGGTCAAACCAAAGCTTCCTTCCAGCTCTCACATTTAATCAAGTAGTAATAAAGATGCAAATTCTCTTGGAGACATGTCACCTGATTCACTGTGAAGAGCCACATGGACTTCAGAACTCCATGGTGACGACACTGGAGGTAGGCATTCGGGGCTCCTGAGGGGGATGTGACCACTGGATCCCAGAGAGGACAGGCCTCCCCCTCCTCTTCGTTTCCGGAGGGACGCACAGTCAGGGGAGCTCACCAGAGACTCTAAACCTGGATGGAACAGAACACTTGGATGAACAGTCCCTGCGATACCTGGAATCTGCTAAGAAGCCTTAGGACATGGTCGGTGGCTATAAGCAAAGGGATTCCATCTGCTCAGTATCTCTGGGTAGCCTCTCATTGATCCCTCTTTGAAACTCCTTTTTTTTTTTTTTTTTAAGATGGAGTCTCACTCTGTCACCCAGGCTAGAATGCAGTGGGGTGATCTCGGCTCACTGCAACCTCTGCCTCCTGGGTTCAAGCTATTCTCTTGCCTCAGCCTCCTGAATGGCTGGGATTACATGCATGCGACACCACAACTGCCTATTTTTTGTAGTTTTAGTAGATATGGGGTTTCACTGTATTGGCCAGGCTGGTCTTGAACTCCTGACCTCAAGTGATCCACCTGCCTCAGCCTCCCAAAGTACTGGGATTGCAGGCATGAGCCACCACACCCAGCCCTCTTTGAAACTCTTAATGTATTGTATTTCATCTTATTGTCAAACTAAGAATCCTGATTGGAGAACACCGAAAATATGTTTTAATCTCCCATGGCTGCCCACTGCAATCAGAATCAAACCCAAGCTCTGTCCACAGCCTATGGGTTCTTCCTGAAGTAGCATCATCAGTTTCCAACTGCATTTCTTCCCATTCTCCCTTTTCCCACTCCTGTCCACCCACAGTGGCCCTTCTGTTCCTCTAATGTGTCAGTATGTCCCTGCCTCAGGGCCTTCTCACTGGCTGTTCCCTCCCGTTGGAATGCTCTCTCCTCTAAATGTTACAGGGCTTGGTCCCGCAGGGCAAATACCACCTCCTCCCAGAGGCCTTCTCTTCTCATTCTCCCGACCCTCTATAACACAGCCCTGTTTTATATTCTTCATAGTACTTATTTGTTCATGTTTGCTTATTTACTTATGATTGTCCCCCCCCCATTCATGAAAGTAGCGATCCTGTCTACTTGGTTCACCCCTCTGCCTCAGCATCTAGGACATTGTCTGGCACAGAGTAGCACTCAACAAGTATTTACTCAATGAATAAAACATCCATGGGTCCCCCAGTTCCCCTTTTTTAGATCCCTTGCTCTCCATCCCACCTTTCACCCTAGCAAGGCAATAAGGGCCATTTACTTGCTACGAATAGGTTTAGCCTCCATGAATATCTTCTTGTCTCCGAACCAAAGACAGTGTCTGACTATCAGTTCAGGGCACTATTCCTGACTGTTGAATGACTTCCTAATCCTGATCTTGCTTCTTGGGGGTTAGCGTTGTCAGTAGGGGCACTGATTAGAAGCAACCCGCCAGTGAAGCTTCCTTTCTCCTTTGAAAAATTAGGTAACAAATCGGTCAGCAGTAGCATCTTCATATATAAAAAAAAGGTCATTGTATAAATATTTTTCAAGAATTTACAATCTCAACTTAATCTCCCTCTCACCTCCCCCCACCCCCTTATCCCACATTGCAAATCCTTGGGGTAAAATAAAATTTAGTATTCCAAAGTTCTCATCCACACATTTAATACTGCCTCCTAAATCGAATGCTCAAGACTACTTTCGGATGCTTGTATTGGAAGAGGCTTCGGATTCTCTGTTAGAAACAGGCCGTACATAATTCTGGAATAAATTTTTGCACGCAGGATGCATCTGAATGAATTAAACGCCTTTTAACCCTCTGCTCCGTACATCCCACTATGCATCTTTGAAGGACAGCACCGAGACTTTTCGATGCTTACGATGTTTCAAGTTGCGCCCCCGGGGCCCGTTACTGGACTGCACCGAAATGCACTCAGCGGAGCATCGCCTGCATCACTTGGACTGGAAGCCGGCAGGTGCACTTCGGGCACAACATAGCGAGCGCTTTTCATCCCTGCAACCAACACAGCGCAAAACGCTCTGGGACTGCAAGGGCAGGAGACTACACAGACCATGCTGAGAGAAAAGAAAAAAACATCGCGTTCTCTTTTTACCTGCCCAGACAATTCTGCAATCACAGCCGCATCATTCAGGTCCAGCCAAGCCAATCACCCGCGCAACTCGGGCAGCATGTGACTTCCGATGCTTCCGGCCTTCTATTCGGTGGTTTCTCGGCGTCGCCCGGCCCGGCGCTAGGACCCGAGCACAGCTACGCCCGCCGCACTCGCGCTATTGCCCGCCCCCTTTCCCGGAATTTAGCCAATAGAAGGCCGCTGCTCCGCAGGGACCAATGGTGAGATCTTGCGCGACTAGCCCGTGACGCTACGGAGCGGAGGCGGGGCGTAGGGCGGGGTCACGTGGGGCGGCGGGCAGGGCTGCCGGGAGCTGACAGGGCCGTGGGCCGTGGGGCCGGCGCCCACCTGGAGGGATGGGGTTGCCGGGCGCGTAGGGGCCATGCCGCCCGGATCCCGGGCCTCCCGCGTTCCGCGCCCCGGCCGCCGCGCCCCACGTCCGCGCCAGGATGGTGAACCTGGCGGCCATGGTGTGGCGCCGGCTTCTGCGGAAGAGGTGGGTGCTCGCCCTGGTCTTCGGGCTGTCGCTCGTCTACTTCCTCAGCAGCACCTTCAAGCAGGTCAGTGGCCGCCCTTCCCTTTTTCCTTCCTTCTTTCCTTCCTTCCTTCCCCTTCCCTTCTTTTCTCCTTCCCTTCTTCCTGCCTCCCTTCCTCCTTTCTTCCTTCCTCCCCCTTTCCTTCCTTCTTCCCCTTTCCTTCCTTCCTTCTTTATCCTTTCCTTCCTTCCCTTCTTCCTCCCACTTCCCTTCCTTCCCTTTCCCTTCCGTCTTCCTTCCCTTCTTCCTTCCGTCCCCCTCCCTTTTGTCCCTCTCTCCCTTTCTTCCTTTCCTCCCTCCTTTCTTCCCTGACGTCCTCTTCCCTCACTTCGTTCTTCCTTCCCTTCCTTCTTCCTTCCCTAATTCCTTCCTTTTTCTCCTTTCTTCGTTCCTTCCGCCTTTTCTTCTCTTCTTCCTTCCTCCCCTTTCTCCGTTGCTTCTTCCTTCCTTCCTTCTTTCCCTTCCTCTTTCCATCCTCCTTCCTTATGTCCCTCTCCCTTCCTCCCTCCTTCCTCTTTCCTCACTTCGTTCTTACTCCTTCCTTCCCTTTCTCCGTTCCTTCCTCCTTCCTTCCCTCCTCCTCCTTTTCCCTCCTCCTCCTTTTCCTTCCTCCTCGCTTTTCTCTGACCTCCCAGCTTCTGCAGCAGCGCCGCCAGGTCGTCCGAGGGTGGGGAGAGGTGTGCATTCCTGTCCGGGTCTCAGCACGGGCGAGGGACCTGCTCACCGCATTGGGTCTGCAGCGAGAAGGGGTTGCTAGGCCAGGGCAGAGCTGGAACCCGAACCCCGAGTTGAGGACCCTTCAGCAGTGGTGGCTGCTTTTATGTACACCTTCTTGCTTTTTACCTGCCGGGTCCAGAGCTAAGAGAGGGTGTGCAAATGCTCGCTTCATCCTCGCGGCAGAAGCGGAGCGTCCCTGTGTTGCAGCCTGAGAAAGGAAGACACAGAGAGGTGGCCAGGGTCGGCCAGCGCTGGCATGGGTGCCCTTCGTTTAATCTGGGGGCTCTGTGTCCTCCTGGGTGACTCAGAAGGACCCACAGTTTCTTTTCTGCTTTCTTTGCATACTTAATCGGTGGAATTCCACCCCTCCAACACACTGCACCCCTTCATTTTCCTTCCAGGTGAGAATTTCTGGGAGAAACAGCAAGGAGCTTGGGTGGGAAGTCTAACCCAAAGCATTCATAAGTTTGTTTAGAAGTTCAGGTTGAGTGCTTAGATTTGTAGAAAGGGTGGTTATTACACCCCAGGGTACATTCAGGATAACCCTAGGTATGCTGTTGTCCTGATGTGGTTATAAAAAGCTTTCCTTTTTACTCTCAAAGCTCAAGTTTGTAAATAAAATACGTAAACGAGTAGAACATTGATAAAACTATGTAGTCCCCCTCGTTTTAGTGGATTGGCAGGAGCTGTGAAAAGGGAAGAATAGGCAGGGCATTGTACGTGACCTCCCTCCCACCTTAGGCAAACAGAGAGGCCGAGTGTTGGCCGGGATGTCTGGGTGATCATGTGAGTGATCAGACTTCTGTGACTTGTGTTTTCTGCCACCTCAGACACCTCCTCACAGTCGTGTGTTGTCCCTTATCTGTCTTGTGGACCCCTGAGTGGTGGTGTATGCCAGGAGTCCATCCTCTACCTTCCTCTCTACCTAATTCAGGTGATCTCTGGGGCCATTGTTAAATACTCAGGTTATCTCTGAGGGGATGCTGGTGGTGTCCTCAGTTGATAACTCCAGCCTAGACTTGTCCAGAAATTTCCAAATTCTTATATCTAATTGCCTAGTTGGCATCTTTTTTCTTTTCAAAAAAATTTTATTGTGGTTAAATATGACATAAAATTTCCCATCTTAATCCTTTTTTTTTTAAACGCAGAGTCTCACTCTGGGTGACAGATAAACAAGTAAACGAACAAGAAATGTTCAGTTAGTGATTCCTATCACAGAATCTCCTGTCACTCTAGGCTGGAGTGCAGTGGCACAATCTCGGCTCACTGCAACCTCCACCTCCCGGGTTCAAGCGATTCTCCTGCCTCAGCCTCCCGAGTAGCTGGGACTACAGGCATGTGCCACCACACCCAGCTAATTTTTGTATCTTTAGTAGATGGGGTTTTACCACGTTGGCCAGTCTGGTCTTGAACTCCTGACCTCAAGTGATCCACCTGCCTTGGCCTCCCAAAGTGCTGGGATTACAGGCATCAGCTACCACACCCGGCCCTATCTTAACCATTTTTAAAGTGTGCAGTTCAGTGGTATTAAATACAGCCTTAACGCTGTGCAACCATCACCACCATCCATCCCGATAACTCTTGTAGAAACTGAAACTTCATACTTCTTAAACAATAGCTCCTCATTTCTCCCTTCCCCCAGCCCCCGGCAACCACCCTTCTACTTCTTAGTTGATGTTGAATGTGTTTGTGTTTGGACCAAATAGAACTCTTGATTCTCTGCCAGCACTTGTTCCTCTCCGAGTCTTCCCAGTCTCACTCAGTGGCATTACTGTTCCCAGGTATTCAAGACACTTCATTCTTTTTCCTCTCACTCCCTGTATCCAAAGTACTGGCTCTGCCTTTAAAGTGTATCCTGAATCTGTTCATTTCTTCAGAGTGTCACTGCTGCCACCCTAGGCCAAGCCACTGGCATCTCTCGTGTCAGATAAAACTCTGGATGCTGTTCCAGGATCTCTGCACGGTAGAATCTTTTTTGTCATTTCAGTTCATTCTGTTGCTGTTTCAGACCATACCTGGTGACAAAACGTAAATTACTTCCATTCCTTGCTCTGAAACCTGCTTTATTTTCTTTGTGGTAGGAATCACGAACTGAGCATTTCTTGTTCATTTGCTTGTTTATCTGTCTTGCTTCACTCTCTCTTTTAGGCCTTAATATTCTTGAGAACAGAGACCTTGTCTGTCTTGTTCATAGACTCTCCAGCCCCCGGGATACTGCCAACCACTCCATGGGAATCCAAATATTGATTGAACAAACAAGTGAGTCTTTTTAATTGGGCTGAATGTTTCTTTTCAGTCTGGCATACGTGTGCTAGCCTTTCACCTCGTGGCTCAGGTACTGTTCTGTGACCTTCCCTACAGCCACCTTTCAGTACCCTGACACATCATCTTCATTTTAAACTTACAGTCCTGCATCACTCAAGGTTCTAAAAAATGCATCTTTAGGTGATTTTGCTACACCTGTAGGCTGTGTGGCACGGCCTATTGCTCCTAGGCTCTAAACCTCTACAGCGTCTGACAGTACCGAATACTGGAGGCCATTGCAACACAGTGGGAAGTATTTGTGGATCTATATATATCTAAACATAGAAAAAGTACAGTAAAAATACTGTAAAGAAAAAAATGGGCTGGGTGTGGTGACTCACACCTGTAATCCTAGCAGTTTGGGAGGCTAAGGTGAGTGGATCACTTGAGGTCAGGAGTTTGAGACCAGCCTGGCCAACGTGGCAAAACCCCATCTCTACTAAAAATACAAAAATTAGCCAGGTGTTTTGGCACATGCCTGCAATCCCAGCTATTCAGGAGGCTGAGGCATGAGAACTGCTTGAACCCAGGAGGTGGAGGTTGCAGTGAGCCAAGATCATGCCTCTGTACTCCAGCCTGGGCAACAGAGTGAGACCGTTTCAAAAAAAAAAAATAAGAAGAAAAGCTGTGTACGGTGGCTCGCGCCTGTAATCCCCACACTTTGGGAGGCCAAGGCGGGCAGATCTCGAGGTCAGGAGTTCAGGACCAGCCTGGTTAACATGGTGAAACCCCGTCTCTACTAAAAATACAAACATTAGCTGGGTGTGGTGGTGTGCACCTGTAATTCCAGCTACTCAGGAGGCTGAGGCAGGAGGCTTGAACCCGGGAGGCAGAGGTTGCAGTGAGCTGAGATCGTGCCACTACACTCCAACCTGGCGACAGAGCCAGATTCCTTCTCAAAAAAAAAGAAGAAGAAAAAAAATGGTACACCCATAAAGGACACTTATCATGAATGGAGCTTACGGGACTGGAAGCTGTTCTGGATGAGTCAGGAGTGAGCGGGGATTGAATGTGCAGGCCTAGGACATCACTGTGTACCACTGTCAAGTGTACACAGGCTGCACTGCATGTATTTTAAGATTTTTCTTTAGGAAGTTAATATTCACTTACTGTAATGCTTTTACTTTATAAACTTTAATTTTTTTAACTTTTTGGCTGTTGTATTAATAACATTTAGCTGAAAACACAAACACATTGTACAGTGGTACAAAAATATTTTTCTTATTTATATCCTTATTCTATAAGCTTTTTTCCCCCAAATTTTGTTTTATTACTTTTTAAACTTTTTTTTGTTAAAAACTAAGACAAGCACATGTTAGCCTAGGCTTTCCACAGGGTCAGGCTCACCAGTATCCCTGTCTTCCCCTCCACATCATGTCTTCTTTTGTGTCCTTCAGTAGCACTTAAAATGCTCTCTTCCGGTACAGACTTATCCCTCATCATTATTAGTGCGCTGGATATTTCCCTGACTAGTGGTCAAAGATGAACATCTTACTGGTTTTGGTAATTTGAATGTTTGCTTCTGAAGGGGCCTAGTCATGCCCTTTGACCATTTTACTATTGGGTGTCCTCTGTCACTTTGTAGGAATTCCTTGTGTTGAGGCCTACTATTTCTTTGTGACAGTTCAGGCTGGGACTCTGATTCAGGTCCACCTGATTTTAAAGCCCACGTTCTCAATTCGTGACCATCATGATAGAGATGGAATGGGTAACATGCAGCCTTGGTGTTGCTTGCACGGTTATATCGTTGTCTTGTTTGGTTTTGTTTGTTTGTTGAGATGAGTGGAGATGGTTCACTGTAGCCTTTGCCTCCCAGGCACAAGTGATTCTCCTACCTCAGCCTCCCAAGTAGCTGGGACTACAGGTGCACACCACTATACCTGGCTAATTTTTTGTATTTGTATTTGTATTCTTTTGAGACAGTTTAGCTCTTGTTGCCCAGACTGGAGTGCAGTGGCGTGATCTCAGCTCACTGCAACCTCCTCCTCCCAGGTTCAAGCAAT